GCATCCTCCTGAATGGGTTAATGAAATACCAACAAAAAATTGAAATTATTAAAAAAATCATTCAGTTGAGAGTAGGGTGGTGGTGTTCTGCTGGTGTAGATGACATGATATCCTCCAATATGAAGCATAAAAACAAGTGGGAGTGAGACATCAAAATTGTGGTTTACCCCTTTGATTGGGATTCCTCATCCTACCCCCATGTGGATGTCAGTTCCCAGTGGCCGGGTTTTGGATTTAGAGTAGAACCAATCAACATAAGTCCTCACACCTCAATTACAGTTATCTATATTCCTCTCTGATTTATACTCCATCAGTGTTGTGGGTCATGGTAGAGGTAATTGCGAATTGTTATGGTTCTTTCCCTTCCACTATCCCTTGATCTTTTTTATTCTGAGGATATTAATGTGCTGTGGGTGGTTCCAATCAATTTCACTTTTGAGGGAGATGGTTTACATTATGTAGACATCTTTTTTGATACTTGATGTCGGGTTCCCGGATTAATTTATCAAGTTATCATATTCACATGAGCGTTATTCCTGAGTTGAGGGGTACTAGATTCCCTCCGATCTTAAGAACTTGAAGTGAAGACGGTATGATCCTCTTTCCTACTCCCCCCAGATGGCTGGGTTTTAGATTCTAGTTGACTTGCCACTAGTATGATCCTCTTTGCTACCCCCACATGTATTTTGGTACCAAGTGGCTGGGTTTTGGATCGTAGTTGACTTAGCGATGATATGATCCTCATCATACCCCAGTGTGGATGTTCCCAATGGCATGGGTTTTGGATGTAGTTGAATTGCCGTGTATGGTCTGTCGTGCCCTAACCACTCTACACCTAAGGGCACATCTTTTTAATTTTACCCACTTTTATAATTTCTGAGATTGAGTTTCATAAACATTGCATGGTTCATATCACTTTTCAGATGTAGTTCTTTCTCAGTTGGATGTGCTTCTCTATTTTCTGCCCATATATATGCAACATATTTCTGTGAAGGGTGAAGAGTATACCTGGTTCGAAAGTGGTGCTCTTCCCCACATCAGATCTTAGAATCTGACTGTCTCATCTTAGGGAGTCCTTTGGATGCTTTTGGTCCCTCCAATGTGGGATTCTAGCTATTTATGTGAGTGGAGGTAATGTATTGTATTGGAAATGATTCACACTTTCCACCCTTCCTCCCCACTGAAAACCAGTGCTTCCATCTTCTGCCAAGACTCAAAGTGACTCATGAGAGTATGTCACACCCTTATTGGTGGAGGGTTGACCCATGATAATTTGCATGAGTGACTCATTGGAATCAGTCAATTCCAATGGAAGGGAGATAGAAGACTTGTGGTATGTGTAAAAAATTATTTTGCATATAGAGAGAAGCACTGAATTAGAATACCTACTTATGTGAGAGGAGGTAAGTACCTATCTGCAATACATTTTCAGTGTAGGAAAATTATAACTTTTATGATATTTACTAAATTGTTATCATGCAATACACTTAATCTTACTGATTGTTAGAAAACTTATTTTTAGTGTATAAACTTAGGCATTAATATATATCTATTTACTGACATTTTTATTAACATGTGAGAACAAAATGCTTAGAATATTTTGTAAATAGTATTTGATGTAAATTGCTTAGTAAAATCTGTCACTCTACATTTTAAATACAAAATGTAGATAAACTTTTTTAAAGAATAGAATACATTTTATGTTTGTTAACCTTTAAGTTTTCATCAACATGATCATTAAAACATGATAGACTTACTTATATAAATTCATCCAAAGCACATCTTTTATATATATATATACCCACTCTCACTCTCTGACAATAAATAGAGTTTACTAACTAACTCAAAATTTACAAAAATTGCCACTCTTAGAGTTCTAACAAAGTATGTAGTTTCAAATTATGAGTTGTATATGTTTATCAACATACTATAACAAACAATCAAGTGAAAGTATGAGCAGAAATGTTATTTATTTATTTTTAATTAGAATTACATTTTCATTGATGTTTTTTAACAATAATGGTATTTTCATTATAAATCTGACACATCAAAAGACAAGTAAAGTAGAAAATTTCCTGATGCTTTTATCTATAACTAATATAGATGCAAGAAGTGAAGCTCAGTCGGCAGAACGCCGATTGCAAGATTCAGAAAGACGCTGCATGGTACAGGCACGACACCTTGTAAAACTTCAGGTATTTCAAATATTTATTTCCTGTTATCTTTTATAAATGTAGGGTAAATTTGTATAAAATTAGGTATACATTAATTGAGCCATTTTTCATAATCTTGAGATAAGTGTAAATCATATTTTTTAAAATAAACTTTAAATAATTGTTCATTAGGTCATCATTCAAAACTTCATTTTACCATTATTTAGGAAATCTTTCAAAAAGATAATTCAAATAATTTATGTTTACTGTGTATTTTTCTTAAATATCAGAAAACATTTTATCAGATTAGTTTTTATTGATAATAGTTAACTGTTTAATACAACATCTTGTGTGAATGCAAAAAAAAGTATGTTATCTTCCAGAAGTTTCAAATCATTATTTTTCAAGTGCTTTTTCATAATCTTGTTTTCGATCAAGCCATTTTACATAAATTCTCAGATACAATTACGTTTTAAGTATATCCAATACCAGCCATTCACATTATGTCAGGTCCATTACAATTTTTCGTGTATCTTTCTATATTATGATTTTTACCTAAATTTCCAGTTTTAAGTTATTCATCTCCCCTATTTTTGCAAACATTGTTTATTGAAACTTTATTTAAGTTTTTATAAAAATTTGAAATTGAGACTGTCTGTTGAATTTGTAAATGGAACTAAGGTAATTAAGGTAAACAATGGTACAGCCATTTTTTCAACAACCACAGTACTTGGTTTAAACAAATTTGTGAACTAATCATTGTGAGGTTATATGATACACAAAGTGCTTCAAAGATTTGGCATCATTTTAACAAATTAACGGCAATCATAATGTTTCAATGTCTAAGTCATCATTGTGAATTTATATGCTGCATAAAGTGTTTTGTTGATTTGGTGCCATTTTAATTGCTAACAAGTCACACTTTGTAGACATTTATTGTTTGCTAACTAAAATGCACAAAAGCTTTAAAGACATTTCTGGGTGGGAGGCTAAAATGTCAATGGCATTTACTGATTATGACTTTCCTGTTTAGAGTGTTGGCAGGTATGATCTTCGTAGGATAAAAACTTTTTTACGAATTTATTTACAAATGTAGCAATTTAATAATTGTTTAGACATTTATTAAGATACTATATTTTGTATGTGATTGGTAGCATAATATAAAAAATGAAAAGAATATTACATACTTTGTATCTTTATATTTGTTAAAATGAAATAGTGTCTTTTAAAGATAGCTGCTTGAGTTGAACAAAAAGGTCTGGTTTAAGATTATATATTATTAACTGTACTTCAGAAATGCTACTCATCTTTTTATGGAACAAATAGCTAATATCTCGCACCTCTGGCAAAAATGTTCTTGTGTATGTACCAATCATTTAAACAAAACTCTCACAAATACAGGTAATAATCTGTACTGCATCATTCTAAGATGCAATCAGTATCAGACTATACCCCTCCACATCCTTACATCCACAGTACTTTTTTGAGCATTTTGTATGTATCAGAATCTCATTATTTTCCTTTTCACTGCATTGTTGAGTAATGTTTTTCTTTTAACCCTTTCCATATGGGTCACAGGTGAAAGGCCATGTCATCTCATTTGTTGACTTGCATTTAAAATTTTATTGAACTACTATTTCATTAATTTATGTCAATAAATTTGGTATCAAACTGTAGGTTATAATTCAAATTTTTAGTATTATACATTACTCAATTTCTTAATTTAAAAGTAAATAAAAAAATGGATAAACATTGAATTTTTTGTCACCTGGTATGTCGAATGCAGCACTGGTTCACATTGGATGTTTGTGATGCCAAAATACTAAGTCTTTAGTTTCGTACGATAAATTACTGATATTGAAAAGCTAGAATATATAATAAAAATCTTTTATCTTTTCAGTTTGCTAAGATATTGTTCATGTAATTAATCAAACACATTGACACTCCTACCATCTCTTTCCATTTTTGGAAATGCTCCCTTAAATACACTTACTTATATGCATGACATGAATAACCAATCAAAAGTTCAGGATGTCCCCTAGTTGCTTTCTCAGCCATTTTAATGTGTTTGGATGCCATCTCATTCTTTCAAACCAAGATTTCAAGGAGGTAGGTTGTGTCATATTTTTTTAGATTGAAATACAGCTTAGTTACTAAGCTTGATAAATTATAGTGTAATTCTATGGTATCTATATAGTAACTTATAATTTTTTGGTTATTCAAAAAATTATTTTGTTTCATATCCTCCACGTGTGAAATTTTAAAAGGATTAGCAACCTACATCAAGCAGCAACTGAGTACAAAGCTTGTAACTAGAAGAAATAATTGTTTGC